GAAAACAGTTTTTGTACAAAAACAACCTCATACTTTTATTTCCATTTTCCAAAAATTTTTCAATATACCTCCTAGTAGATTCTAAACTCTCATTCTAGTTGCTGCATGATCTTCTTTAACACTCCTGTTGTGACTTGTGCAAGGAAATGGCTTTAAAATGCCCCTCTTGAGCTGGGGGAGATGGAGGGAAGCAGATCCCTGGGTGGACCAGGGCAGCAAAATATTACTCTCTAGTAGTGTTCCGAGTCTGTCCAGGACAGCCCACCCACCATTCTAGTTATTTTCACACTTGACACCATCTTCAGTTGTAGAAGCTTGAAAACATCACAGAGGCTCTCTGTACTCTAGATAGGTAGCCTGGGGACCCACACACATTACATGTTTATGTATTTATAAATGCATATATTCTGTGTTGATATGTAATACGTGTAATACATACATACTGTATGGTACATATACGAGAAACACACACACAAACACACATAAAGGTAAAGCAGAGGTGCAAATTTGAGAAGCCAGGAGAACTTATATAATCACGACGTCTGGGGAGGATCAGGAGGAGGGAAGAGCCCACTGGGGAGGGTGGGCGGGATGTTTTGGAGGAGTTTTAGACAAGAAGAGCATTTGCAAAAATTGTCGCTGGTTGTGAGCTTGGGGACGGCATGCGAGCAAGAAGAGTTAGAGGCACTTTGTTGGGTAGTCTTCCCTGCCAGATCTCTTCATCACTGCCCACGCACAGCAGTCCATGTGACCCTTCTGTGGACTTGGGAGACGCCCTACTAGGTGGGAACTAACTTGAACAGTCTGTATTTAGCTGCAAACACTTACATTTAGAAGAACAGAAAGGCAGGACACTATGTTGAACACACTGCTCCACACTCCATCCCTGCTATCTCAGTTGCAATCGTCCCTTGGGGTCTAGTTTACTTAATAACTGTAAAAACCAGTAAAGGTTGTGCTGAATGCTATGTGAAACAAAACAAAACAAAGTGCCTGTAACAAAGAAACAGGAGCACTCTAGCCAGCGTCTAATTCTGGAAAATCATATAATTTCTCTGGGTCTTGTTTTCTGTGTCTATAATCTGAAATTCCTGTGATTCCAAGCAGCTAGGCATTAATCTTATGACTACCACACCTGTGCCACAAATGTATCTTGCAATGGTAGTGGGTGCTATGTTTGTCGAAAATTGTTTGAATGAGAAGTTGATAGATAAGACAATTTCTGGTATCAACCAAGAAAGCACTTCCAGGCACTTGATGAGAGCGAACGAGAGGAAGCATGCCCTCCTAGCTTCACTGTGGAATCGGTCCCGTCCTGGGGCATGGTCCAGAACCTACCATGGAAATAGTAAGGGAGTGGGGCTGTGCTTTGGCCAATGGGAACCTGCGGCAGTTTTATGCTTCCCTCCTTGGGAGGTGGAAAATTCCATTCCAATGAGCAGGATTGTCCCCGTGCCCAGGACCTGGGTTAAGTGTAAGATTTCCAGTCACCCTCCTTTGTCTGACTCAGAGTTCATCGAAGACCCCCTCCTTAGGACAGGCTTGCCGGTTAGATCTGTCCACAGGGAGAGAACAGCTGGAATATTCTGGTTCCTGTGACAGTTATAGCTCATTGTAAATTTTTCACAAAGAAGAATAGATATTAATGTGGACAAGGAATTTAAAGAGATAGAACATGCTAGAGAAAAAGGGTAGAGTGGAGGAGAAGCAGAGAATTGGACAAAAAGGGCACCTTTCTGTGATCCTTAAAGCAGTGCTGTAGAACACAGGCGTGCAGGTGGGAGGTTTGCAGTGTGTCGATGTACACCGGTGGGTTTGCTGTATCAGTAAGGTGGCATTTTGCAGTTCATCTCTAATAAAGAATGTGAATAACTTATTAAAGACTGCTTTGTATGTGAATAGCATTTACTGCAAATAAATAGACAGCATAATGGTCACAAACCAAATGAATAAGGATCAATTTAAAAACTGGAACTAGAGGAAGTTATTGAAGAGAGATCTTGATTGAGAATTAAAAATTCTTCTGTTTAGAATGACATAATTTTCTTCTTGAACTAGTACTAATGACAGAAAAACTTGAACTTTCCAGAGTTGAATAGGTTTCCAGAGACCTCTGTCAATATATGAAGCAATAGTAGCTAGCAGGGGAACTATACTTCTTAAAGGTCATTTAAAATGTATTATAACAACTATGAAATAACAATGCAGACTTTTATCTATTTCTTAAACCTCAAACTAAACGTCTTCAAGATGCATAAACACAGATAGCCTCAATAAAAAATAAAAAGGTGGGGGGACTACTTAGCAGCCTCAGAAGAGTATAATTACAGAAGCCCAATTTGGGCATAATGCAATTATTTTCGGATATGTTTATAATTTGCATTTGGTAGCAAGATTGGGTTATTAAGCATACAACTTACCACCCTTAATAATCATATTAGCAGAAATAAAATGTCCAGAAACTTTAGGAAGTTGATTAGTAATCTACATTTTGTACTAATGGGAGGGGGGCTTATTGTAGATTATAAATACACAAGATAAAAGTCCCAGGTTACTGAGTGCAAAAAAATAAACTTTCACATATTGTGACAGGCATTGCTTGGTCTGAACTATTTATAATACTTTAGAGTGTACTAGCACTTTTTTGGTAATATAAAAAGCAATAGAATCTTAGTAATATGAGGTCCCAATGGAGATATTTGCTATTAAATTGTTGCTGAGTGTGCTGAGGTTTGGGGGAGAATTATCGAGTTTGCAGATTAGCAAAGCAGGTTTTGGCAATGTTTTAAAATTGAATCAGTGATGCCTTAAAATGGGGTGTATTTTAAGGATTCACAATAAGAATTTTAAAATAGATGAAGAGATTGGCTTGTTATCCTCAAGCGGTATATGGTAATTAGTGTTTTTATGTAAACTAATTTCATGTTTGTCTACAGGTTTAAGCATACCCAAGCAAGGGAATAGGGAGTGAGGCAGAGTTCAGGAGAGACTAATTGAAAATGAGGTGTGGTATTAATTTTAAATAAGTATTTTCCAATTTTCTGCTTTTTCATTTGGTCTTTCCATTTCAACCATTTCCAGAGCTGCAAACACAACATGACTCAATGATGTGAAAATAGCCTTTTCTAATTCTGAATTTGGTTTGATTTCACCGCTCATGTTGCCAGTGCGAAGTCTCTTTTCTGTTTGGCTTCTGTAGTCTTTGAGCCACCATAAAAGGAGGGATCTGCCCCAAGGATCCCTTTGTCACGCCCCATAGGGAATCTTTCATTTGTGTCCCTATGAGTGAGGCTGCCCCAATATAATAAAGCTAATTGTTGATGGCAGAAATGTTCAGTCTAACCTCTTATTTGTGTCCACCGGTTTTAGAAATGAAAAGGACAGTGCTGTGACAGAATTCTTTATAGTTGCCTCTTGTTCTAATTATTTTAATTAGCCTGTGCTCCACCTAGGATTACTAGTGGTGAAGAGAGAGTTCCTGGAAGCTCAAGGAAGAAATACTGGTGGTTTTACAGCAAAACTTTTCAGCAGTTGTCTTTAATTTAGCATAATTACTTAGGGGTGGGTATTTGGTCCAGCTGTGAAGGTGCCTCTTAGTATGCTTGAATCCAATAGTGGGGTGCCTGGCTTCAGGTCCTGGCTCTGCTTTGTATTCCAACTGCCTGCTAATGTGCACCCTGGGAGGCAGCAGATGATGATGATTCAAGTTCTTGGATACCTTCCACCCACGCAAAAGATCCAGATTGAGTTCCCAGCTGTTGGCTTCAGCTTGGCCCAGCCCCGCCTGCTGTGGGTATTTGAGAAGTGAACTAGCTGATGAAAGATTTCTCTCTGCCTTTCAAATAAAATAAAACAAGTAAATAAGTAAGTAAGGAAATAAAACAATTGCTTAAACCAGAGTTAGTTATGAGGTCAAATATTTCGGTTTTGATTTGCAATGGTCCTGAGAAATTATCCAGTTTAACTTCTTATCTTCAGAGAGATTGTGCTAAAAAATGGTTCTTTGAAAATGGTTCATTGAAAAATGGTTCTTTCTGCCTTAGCTTTAGTAGAAGTTTTCCTTCCTTTGAATTTTGGATACTATCTGAGCTGAACATTTGACAGTTAGAATTGGTTGCCCCGTATTGTAATTTTATGCAAGTGTCCTATCTCCTGAACCAGAGTGCCAGGCTCTTCCTTATCAAAGCACACATACGCCAAACTCCCCATTTCCTACAATAGTGATCATTTTCCTTCAAGGGTGACCATATAAACTTTTCTTGAAATCTATGCTATTCCTTCTCTTGATATTTGATCAACAACTTGAATTTTAAAATATGTCTCTCTGCCTCAGGGCGTGGGTGTTTAGCCTCGTGGTTAAGATGCCTGAATCCCGTATGGGAGTTCCTGGGTTCTGTATCTGGCTCCTGACTCCGGCTTCCTGCCTCTGCAGACCCAGGGAGGCAGCAGTGATGGCGCAGATATTCGGGTTCTGGCTATCCACACAGGAGACACGGACTGTGGACCCGACCATTGTGGGTGTTTGTAGACTGCAACAGTGGACGGGGGCTCTGTTTCTCAAGTTAAATAAATTAAAAAGAGATGCTTGAGACCTTGGAGGTATTCTAGTCTAATCTCTGTTTTATGGATAATGAAACTGAGTGAGGCTCAGCATTCAAGATCGTTTGTCTAGGGCACATGTCTAGCATTTGACAAAAGTCGGGGAATTCCAGTTTTATTAGCTCCTCAGATGTTAATACCGGTGTGTGCGCCCTGCTTTGGGATTGAGCTTCACAGAGTCTACCCCTACTCTCCTTCAGTTTGTTGATTTGAATACATGAACAGTGTCTGAGATGCCAGCCCAGTGTTCTTCCTTTACACAACCACTGATCGCATACTTTGTAATGCTACAACTGTGCTGTTCTATCAGTCAGTAGCTCTTGAAAATAATTTACAACATCCAAGTAATCTACAGCCTATTGACTGTGTGATCTTTTTCCTCCAAATTCCATCTTTTTTAGGTTGCTCATGATGCAGGGTTTGGGGAAGAAATCTTCATCATTCACAGCTGATGCAAACTGAGAGCGCCAGGTCAGTGAACCTGTACATCTGTATCAGCTGGGGACGCAGGGCCATTGGAAGCATTCTCAGACGTGTAGCTCAGCAAGCCTGGGGCTCCCTGCTGTTTCATAATTTCTCCCTTAAACCAAACATTTCATTGAGTTTGTTGTTCAGTCATGTCTTATGTTGGATTAGGAGTGTATTTGTTCAAAGCTCAGCTCCATCCCTGTCCAGGCTCTTGGCATATCCCACATAGGATAGCTGCCTTCCAGGCTTGACTGGTCAGTAAGATGCTGCTAGGAGAGTTGTGTGATGCAGAGTTTTCTCTTGTGACAGATGTTATCTCATTTCTTTTTTTTTTTTTTAACGTGTAGGAAAAGCGCCACCCATTTTCTCTGACCAACTTAAAAAAAAAAAAAAAAAAGATGAAAAGATCTTCCCAGCACGAATAATAGCAAAAAGCACATGACAATCTAAGCTTTGTGAACTCTCAGACAGCTGGGGTGCCCAGCAGCACTGTGATTTTCTTAAACAACTTTAGAGCACCATGTGTGTGTGATCAGAGTAGACTATGATCTTAAACAGCCCTGGTGTCACGTGGGGAGTTTCCATTTCTTGACCAAATTGACTTTCTGGTTGGAAATTAGCATCCCGTCATAAACAGCAGCTCTTGTACAGGCAGGTTAGCTACAGCCTTTGCTGTCATTTGAAACATGTCCTCTTTTGCTTCTCCTAACTTCAGTGCCGTGGAGTGTAGCTTGGACCTGGGGACCAAGTGATTCTAAAGTTGTTCCGGGAAGGAGAATCCAGTGAAGCGTTTAATAGTGAAAACTCGGATAAAAGTGCAGCCCATGTCAGCATAGAAACAAATAGAAGCAGATGGGGAAAACCTTACCTGTAGTCAATAACATACCCAGAAAACTGCAGCCCTCAGGAGGAGGACCAGGTGGGTTTTCACTACCTTTGTTTCAGGCAGTTTTGAGAGTAGTAGGAGGTGATCTTGCCTTGTGCTTGTAGGTCTCATTCACTTTGAGGGTGGGCTGAGAAGCCAGGTTCTGTGGTCTACCCATTACCTTACCTTGGCATTTTATGAACTAGCAAAGTTTCCAGAAATAGTTTGAAGACCAACAGAGAATTGCCAGCTCCCTCCCACTTGCAGGCCAGTGAAGAGAGTCAGCACACGCAGTCTCTTTATTCCCATGTTTCATGCAGGAGGGGAACTTTCCGTACTGCAATATGAGAAGACCATGATTGAAGAATGAAGTACTTCAAGTGGAATAAATTGAAATTTAGGAAAGAGTCCCTGTAAAAAATTCTGTTCTGGACCTGTGAAAATATCTGTGTAGCGCTGCCTTTCGGGACTCACTGTTTCAGACTGAGCATCGTGTAAAACTCCCTCTGCTTATGACAGGGCACAGCTTTGTTCCCAGCCCAGGGCAATTTTGTGTGTGCTTGATGGCTCTTTTAAAATTCATATTGCAGTGTTGCCAGTGCTGGCTGGAGCCTTGTTCAGTAGTTTTGGTGGAAGCTGTTGGTACTACCATCATCCATCCATTTGTTCATTTGCTTACATTTAACAAACGTAGGCCCGAGCTATGTGCTGGAAAGAGAATAAGATAAACTTGCTATCCTCAAGGAGTCTTCACTTCCTTTTCAAGAGTCTGTAATATTTTTAAATATCTTGTTTTTGGTGCCGTGAAGGTTTATACAGAACTCAAGCAGAAATTATAAAATGAGTGTTTGTATAGATCCTGGATATAGGTTTATTGGAGAGTGAGTCTCTGCCTCTTTTTTTTTTCTTCTATACTATTCAATGAGACTTCATCGTTGGTAAGGAATGTAGAATAAATTCACCTAGATAAAGTTCTTTTTTTAACTTTTATTTAATAAATATAAATTTCCAAAGTACAGTTTATGGATTACAATGGAGATAAAGTTCTGATAATGAAATTTAGATAACAGAATCTAATGTCATTTACGGCTTCAAAATCCAGGAACACTTAGAGGGTACTCAACTCATGGCATCCATTCACTTAGTCATCGCAGTTTAAGGATTGTTCCTCTCTCTCCCAACTTCTTTCAAAGTAACCCAACCACTAAGAGCAACAACCCTAATTAAAAAAAAAAAAGAAAAAAAAAAAAAGATAAATGAGGAAAAGCTCTTTAGTGGAAAATAAATTTTTCAGATTCACTTTATGCAATGATAAAATTAAGTAAATATTTACCAAATACTAGTTTGTGTTGTGTAGATACAGCCTTTGATTGGTGGGTAAAATTTTTTGCAGCTGATGAGACTAAGCAATTACTTTTGTTTTGAATACAACAAAGTGTATTCAAAGTCTTCCTCAGTTAAATTCAACAGTTGGCATATTTAAAATGGAAAGGTTTTTATGGATGTTTTTAATGTACTTCAAAGGTATGTTACCCACTGTACAAATTACTGTCCACAATTCCAAGTGAAACCAAAGGAGTCTTCAGACAACCTTGACATTATCACATACTGGCATTGTGCTGCTACCTATGAAGACCAAGCATGTGTTTGGCTAATGGATAAATGCATGAATTCAATTAATGGGTTAAATTAATGATCATATCCTCTTGAATTTGTATTTTGCTGTATACTTTGTGATCTCAAATTTATCCTTGCAATAACATTTTGAGTAAAGAAGAAATTAACTTAGCATGTTGGATCCCAATTTAAAGCTTTGAAGTCACCTAATATGTCCTTGGCCTACAGTTGAAACCATGATAGAAATGTGTTAGAAGTGTAAATAATTAGAAAAACAGAACAAAAAGAAATAGTGAAATGCATGTAAAACAATTAATAAAGTAAAAATAAGCTAGAGATCTTAACAGTGTTTGAAAGCTAGTGCTACTACCTTTTTGTTTTTTTTTTTTTAAGATTTATTTTAATTTGAAAGGCACAGTTCCAGAGAGAGGGAGAGACAGAGAGCCATCCTCTGGTTCGCTCCCAAAATGGCTACAACAACCAGTGCTGAGCCAGACTGAAGCCAGAATCCAGAAACTCCATGTAGGTCTTCCACGTAGGTACAGAGCCCCAAGCACTTTGGCCATCTTCCGTTGCTTTCCCAGGCACTTTAACAGAGTTGGATTGGAAATGGAGCAGCCAGAATTTGAACAAGTGTCCACATGAGCTGCTGTGTTGCAGGTAGCAATGTAGCTCACTACACCACAACACTGGAATGAGATGCTATTATTTTTCTACAATCTGAGGACGGAGTTGACCCTTAGCTTTCCTATCCTCCCCAGAAATACAGTGAAAATATCTAGAGTCACAATCAAATATTTATACCAAAGCTTCAGTGCAAGTAGCTGAGATGACTGCAAGTTACCCAGCCAGAAAGCTGTCTTTTATTTATGTTTCCTGCTCGGAGCCCTGGCCTTGGTCTAGATGAATATCAGAAGAGTAGTGGTGGGAAATGCTCCCAGATAACCCATCTAAGGACTCCCAAACTGACCGCTCATGTGGCTCTCCTGCTTTGCAAGAAATGCTTCTTTGAGCAATGAGAGGCAAAAACGTAGAGGGCCACTCCATTCAAGTCCCTGAACAGCCCAGTTCTCCATTTTGTTCTGAGAACTCCGACATCCGCCCAGATCAGCAATTGCTGTGAATGCTAAGACATATCACAGAAAAGGGCATTTCAGCTGCCCTGTGCTGACAGGTGTTAGGTGTGGTGAATGTTATGGTGATGCTAAATAAATTAGTGAATTCCTTGTTTTGGTTGTTTATTTTCTTGGGCAGTTTACATACTTGTAGTAAAATGAAGTTCCACTAAATTCACAGGGTGGTTATCTACCCCCCTCAAAAACAAAAAAGGTATGCACCTAAAATGCATGACCCTGGCTGTGTGCTATGGCTTGGTGCCCCAAGTGGAGGCTTCCCAGCTCCCAGTCTCAGTGTCCCAAGGCACAGTCAGGCTCTGTGGGATCTTATTCTTTCAAAAGTAAATGCAAAAGAGATTTTTAAAAGATATTAAAAAGAGGACTCTTTCAATGTTTTCCAGAGGTAAGTGGGAGGGAAAAAAACCCAACATATTTTTTCCACAGAGACATCTATTTATCGAGGGGCTGTTGAACAATTAATCAGAATTGTTTTCAAGCTCACCTCAGGGGACTGTGTGACTTAGTAGGAGAAACATTTAAAACCAGAGCATCTGCGTTCTCGGTGCCTGTTCTGTTCCCTAATAGCTGAGACTCTCAGGGCAAATCACTTAACCCATGTCAGCCTCAGTTGCTTCATTTGCAATCAGGGATACTGACACTGTTTTTGTGAGGATTTGATGAAATAACTAGAGCAAAGGTCTTTCTGAATTTCTAAATTATAAAATGATGTCCAGACAGGTGCTATTATCAGTGATTTTTTTAATAAAACTTATGTTTTTGTTATAAAAACAATGTTTATTGCAGAACGTTTTATATAAGCTGTAATGTGCTGGAGACAGGGCTGTGCCGGGTGGGGAGTTGGGGGTAGCTGCAGATCCTAGCAAAGCCTGTGCCTGTGTTTCCGGGATTTGCAGCCCTAGTTTCTGCCTGTTCAGAAACTCTGTTTTGACACCATGAGTGACGACAGTCTGCCCAGAGAGCCTAAACTCCGAGGGCCATTGGAAGAGTTTTCACCAAAACATGCCTCGAAAGTGATCCACCAGCAAAACTGTAGATCCCAGAAAACCTGTGGCTCTTCCTTGTCCTGGAGAGAGAATTGCTTTAGAAACCAGGGGCTGTGGCTAGTTCTAATCATTTGCTACTTCTTCACTTTGTTGGACTCTGTTTTCTCATCTGCAAGATGACCCGTTTAAACTAAATACTCTTTGAAGTGGATTTCATGGGTAGTTTCTGGGTTCTTGGTCATCCGTGGTTCCAGTGGGCTTGTCAAGCACCAGCACTGGCCAGCCAGGAAGGCGAGACCCACCTGATATCAGCTCAGGGCACAGCCCACAGTATTTCCAGGTGCCTTCAGTAATCTTGAACACCACTGCATGTCACCCAAACGCCAAGGAGACTGTGAGGAG